GAGAGAGAGAGAGAGAGAGAGAGAGAGAGAGAGAGAGAGAGAGAGAGAGAGAGAGAGAGAGAGGCGACGGATTTGCCGCGGCCCTTCGTGCAGGTCACCGCCTCTCTCTCTCTCTCTCTCTCCCTCTCTCTCTTGTTTCGAAAGTCGAAAACGGGAATGAATCCTCCCGCTTTCGTGGGAAGATGCATTCCCATCTCTCTTTCTCTCTCTCTCCGCGCTTCGTTTTGTTTTTGTGTTTTTTTATTATTTGCTTTCGTTCCTTTTTTAATTTTTTGCTTCCAGTCGTTTCTCGGCTCTTCCACTGTGTGTCATTCCTACAAGCACGGAGCCCGGCCATTCAGCAACGACCGGGCCTTCCCTCGGCCGACCCCCCTAAGACTGCGGCGCGTATACGGGAAGGCCCGCGACCGATAGCTGAGCCAGGTACTGGTGGTTTAACGCCCCACAAGTTTTGGAGGCCCAAGGTACCAGACCTGAAAGGCTGACGCCGCCAGCCGAGATATTTTTTTTTTTTTTTGTTTCGCTGACGGGTCAGCACGAAACGGCCCGCAAGGCATATTCAGGCTCGGTATCGATAGCTGGGCCAAGCACTGGTGGTTTAAATGTATAGGATAGCATTTACAGCCGGTCCTGGATGCATCTAACCGTAATCCCGTCCATAAATTAACAAAGGAAGTCCTACAGTAGTGTGAGTACGCCCTGAGAATGGACTCGTCAAACGATCATTGTGATCTGAACTGCTGACATAATTGAAGGCTTCTCTCGAAATGTGCAAAACGAGAGTGAACCTTCCGCTAGAACATGGAGAGATGCACAACCTTGATTTGCTGTCTTTTGTGCATGCCGAGAGTAGTGGAGCGAGGCCCTTACAGTAACCGTGATAAAAGACCACACACACGTTTTCCTGTTTGATGTACATTAGGCTGGCTGGGCCCCGTTCCCGGCAGGTGTTGCTCCTAATGAATGATAGATCGAGTATCTTTAGAAAAGAGAAAAAAAAGGAACTGCTGATTCAGAAGTTTAGCACAAAATGTGAGGCTTTACTCTCATGGAGGACATAATGTGCCAAATGAAAGAGAACTGGGATGTTCCATGAAACAACCCAGCATCGCCCTTCTGCCTCGTCCGCTCAGGCGACGAAAAGTTTCTCAACTAATCCTTAAATAGTCGTGCCTCCGACTCTAGCTGCCTAACCCTTGAGATTACAAGATCCTTGCCCTGATCCCGTCCGATCATCCTCCCTCCTCAGGTCATCGTATAATCGGCGTAGATCACACTCTTCAATCCTATGGATGCGATAGATCTCACTACGCTCCGTTGCTGGTCCCAAAACATCACAAAACATCCGAGGCCTTGGCGCGAATATAGCCAAGTTCCAGCCAAAAATTCATAAGTACCGGTATTCTGACGGTTCCTAAAAAATTGCCGTATAAGAGTACCGTTAATTCGTCAGACATGAAACAGGGGTTAGCTGCCTCAAACCGCTGCCTGTGTCCCGTGTAGCCAGTGATAACTGTCAAAACTTCAATAGGCGTTTCCTCTCAGCCTGCTGTGATGTCCGTCACCCGTCATCTGTCAGAGATCTAGTGAGTCAAACTGTCTTGTGTACTAAGCCAATGGACCAATTTAGATGCTGTTTTCTTTTTCGTTTTGGAACATCTCAAGAGTCAGTACGGCCTGTCTGAGAATCCGGGTGGGGTAACCAAAAAGTAACGCCTCAGTAAAAAATAATTTAATGATCTGTACCAAGTCGCTCTCCAAGGAAGTATTCGACATAATCTTGTGTAGAGTGCTAATAATGGTCAAGGCCTTAGTTCTTATTGGACCAAAACTCTTGAAATGCCTAATTGAATGAAAGCGCCCAAAAGACCCCTCTTGGAGCGTCTCCTGATTTTTCAATCGATGTAGGCACCTCAAGAGGGGTCCTTCACTCTGTTTGCATATGGTTGTTTCTAAATATTTAGTCTCTCCCTGAGTGTTCAGCGAAGTACACTCAAGTTTGAGTGAGGGGTGATAACAATTATGAAATTTCAGAATCAGTTCTTGAGCGAGAGAAGGTTCATACTGATTGTAAATTGCTGCGACAAAAACGTCATCCACAAACCGTAAACCATGGATGAACCGCTCGTCTGCACCCAGGGAGCTGAGCCATAAATACTTGTCAAAATTACAAACCAAATTAGCGATAGGAGGGCTAGAGCCTTTTCCCATTGGTACACCCAGTGTCTGTCGCAATACCTTCCTTTGCATTAGAAAATACGCATGCGAGATGTCAAACTGTAATAGTTTGGCTAGATCCCGTATGTCTATGGTTTTCCCTCCCCACGTTCCTTTGGCTTTACCCAGAGCAATCTTCCTTCCTTGGATCTTAATCCTGACGTGCGAGTTGTTCTTTTCCAAATGTTGACATATCAACCAATCCATCGCTCTCATGATATGTGAGTGATCTAGACATGTGAACGTATCTTTTACGTCGAACGTAGAGAAAGTGACCTGAGTTTGCTCCTTACATAAGTCATATGCTTTTTTGTTCAAGTTTCCGATACTCGGTACTAATTCGTTAGTGCCCATGATAGCAAACCCAAACTTCAATAGCCTGACGAGGAAATTCAAGCATAAAGCTAGAATTTTTGAGGCACGGAGCGAAGGTTCTTCAAACGTCCGAACAATTGGTCGTCATTTGAGGATGTCCTTTTAAGCATAGTATATGCATGCCCATAAGTGCCACGTTGATTCCAGGGCGCAATCTTAGTTAGTCCCAGTTCTTTGTACTTCATCCGACTTTGATCGAGAGTATCACCTAGGCTAGTCAAACTGATTGAATAGTTAGGCACTCCCAGAAACATCAGTCTCATGCTCGTCCAGAAGATTAGTGGGCACTCGATGTAGGTTTCACCTGGATTTCGATCAAGTTGTGCGCAGACCAGATTACGTAGCTTCATTTTCCACTCTCAAAAACTTCTCGCACACTGATTCCACTCACTGGAGTGTTAACAATTTTTACACACTTGTCAACATTGATGGTGAGCATATCAGAATTGCAGTACTTCTGCGGTAGTGAAGAGAGTAAAGTGCGTATTGCCTTTATAAGGGCCACTTTACTGTCTTCTCCTTTATAGTACGGTACGTTCTTAGTGTTACATAAGATCTGGTTGTGACATACATCAGACAACCGAAAAGAAACATGCGAGTTAATTTTTGGAAAGTCAAGCTGCAGGCAGGGACATTCGGGTTGCTCTACCACCATTCTTCGGTGGTTGTGAAGGATATCACCGATTGTCCTAGATTTGGCAAACAGGACTCTGGTACGAGTGATCGCGTCCGTGCCGACATCTCATGTGTGATCCGTTTCCGAACCAACTCCTGCAGAACAATCCTTGTCTGTGACATGATAATATCAGCCGCGAATGGTACTCGTAGTGTCAGTCGACGTCTAATGTTAACACCAAATTTGCGTATCGCAACTCTGGAGATGCAACCCCTCAGTATACCACGACTCTTCTTTGAGGCGATCGAGCGCATGCCCGAGTATAGCCCAATGATGCGAGTCAATGAGTATCGGTAGAGGGAAGCTCTAGTCCAGGGTGATCTGAGTAACGCGATGAGTTTCTTCCTCTTAGAAGCTCCAACGCTCAAATGTTCGACGCAGCACGTAATCAACACTTCGCACCCTGCTTCAAACAAGGTTTTACATTCCTTCAGGCAATACTTAGTACCGTTAATTAGGACAACACTATCTCTAAATCTTCTCTTAATGACTTTCCAATCTTCAACCCACAAATTACCTTGAGAGGATCGAATCAGTGCATGCGGTTTAATGAGCATCGTCAGCTTAGTTGATGTGGTGTGATCGGAGGTAAAAAGAAGGGGAATATCGATGTTAATACCGACGCGTCTCTTGGGTCGGGTACTTCTTCTTATCCTCTGTTTGTTCTTATTACGTCTGTGTACGGTGTTAAGATAGAGATTCCACTTTTGAATGATCTTACGTTCAACATAAGTGATATCTGTAGAATCTCCTACCGTACTTATGCATACCGTACTTAGCAACCCAAGAATAAAGAAATCTGCACTGGCTTTTCTGTTTCCTGATGACGGCTAAAGTGTGTTCTTTCCATCGCCTATCTACTCCTCTCACAGTCTTCCCGATGTAGAAATGTCTACACCAAGGTGAGACCCAGACATACACACAACAGTCGTGCTGTAATAGACTGTGTAATGGTAGGTTCTGTTGCTGTATAAGTGCAATGAAACGAAGGCCCCAGGAGATCCGTCCCCTATGCAGTAGCTCTAATGTTCCCAGTCTGTATGCACGGTTGACGATCGAGCAGTCCTTCCACTTCCTAAGCTGAATGAGGTCTTTCAGTAGACCACTACACTAACTGATGAGCTGCCAAATAACTTCATCCGAAAGACTGGCAAGTGCCGGACGTGTCCCCAGCTAGTTTGCTGATGGTTCAAATTGTCTCGAGGTCTGCTGTTCAGAGTCATCAACTTCATCCGAGGAATTGGCAACTGCGTCATCTTCATCATCCGATGACTCCGTTACTTCAGTAGGCTCATCTCCCACATGTCTGCTGCCTTGCACTTCATCCCCATCTTCAGTCTGATCCGGCAGCTCCTCCGTAATGGTGATGATCACGCCTGGAATCTTCCTCAGCGCCACCCTGGCTTGCGGCATGCCACGTACCTGATACCGTGCTTAGCGCAGAGGCGTTTGAGGTCATCCATTTGCAGGGTACTCAACATGTTCTCCGTAATCTGCTTGCCTTGGAGAATTCTCCTCCTTGCTGATGTCCGGACCGCACTGCGCCTTGGATTGTGGTTCGAAGTAGTAGTCGGCTTCTTCGTACCGCTGGTCCCTCCTCCGTTCTTGTTACTAGGCGTTGGCTTCTTTGGTGTCCTGCTGGCCGAAATGACTTTCGTACGGGGAGAAATGAAAGGTCTTCTCGCCGGAGTGTGTATGCTGCTTTTGATAGTAGCCAGCTGATAGCGGAGATCCCGCATGTCATCCAGTTGCCGCTGCAGGTTCTGGATGTCTGCGCTGACTTTGTGAGGATCACTCCTCTTTGTGTTCTCGACATGGTCAGCTTTCACACCGTTTTCCGGTGCTCCAGTCGTGAGTGTCTGTGAGGCATTCGATGGTCGCACAGCAGCTTCTATTGCCTGTTTCAACATATCGGTAGTGACAAATTCAAACTTCTTCTTGCCTTCCGCCTTGAAATCATCCGCCAGCTTATCAACTCTCTTCTTCAGCCTATCCAGTTCCCTACGTAGTGCGTATAGTTCGTCACGCAACTCCACCGTGAACCACACCTGATTGCCAGGAGCGGGTTTGTTGTACGGAAATTCATAGCCTCCCTCTTCCTGATCGCGGTCACGTGATCCACTCCTCCTCCGCCGTCTACTTGATGCCGATGTAGATCTCGACTTTGACCTCGATCTGCGTCTCTCGCGTCGCCGTTTGTCATCGTGTGATCTGTCCGGAGATCTGCTCGATCTCCGCACCGGTGATCTCCCACGCCTGCTGTCATCCATCCACTTCCAAGGTTCTGGAGTAACCCAATTTCTCTGAGTGAAAGAAAAAGAATCTCAGGCTTAAATAATTTATTAAATTTAATCAAAATTTGGTTGTTAATTACGTGTGAGACTTAGTGTATGTACCATTCACGCCAGGGGCCAAGTCCCAATTATAGCAGCGTCGAGTTCCATCAACACCTGAATCTGGTCGCGTTTGTGGAGACGTGCTGTTGAGGAAGCTCTACGCGATTTCTGCACGTCTCCACAAACACGTCCAGATTCAGGTGTAAAGCAAACTGAAAGATGCGAGTGGGACTTGCGCGCACGTCAATACCCATCACATGCATGTAACCGACTAAAAACAGAGCGATAGGAGCACAAACACACCACTGACATGACAGCTTCAGAAGAATAGACATATATAGAAAAAAAACGGTGAAATTCAACATGAATTTCATGAAACAATTTCCTGCTGTACAAAAAAACAAAACAAAACAAAAAAAAACAATATCCTGCTGTGGGCCATCGTCACAAATGATCTGGTTCTCTCCCTACCCCCCTGTGCTCAAGCAAGAGCCTCCTCTACCTAAAAACCCCAAAAGGGGGTGCAGTAGAAAGGGGTATGGTGTACCAGCCCCCTAAGGGTCCCAAAGTGTCTTGCATGCAGAACCAATCATCCAACTCAAAAACGTTTTCTGTTTGTGAGATGGCCAGACACTCTGATCTGAGATCTCCCCTCTGCTTCCCTGTATGCCTCCACCTCAAAAAAATCTCTAAAGGAGATGCGGCGGCCGGCTACACGGTGCAGTTGCAAGGCTTGATTAAAAAACAGCCTAGAACTCCACACCCCATAAACTTGTGAGAACATCGATGCCGGTGGCCCCATGCTGCAAGGCAGCCAAGGCTTGATAAAAAAAACAGCCTTGAACTCCACACCGCGAACTTGTGAGCACATCGATGTCGATGGCTCCATGTCGCAAGGCTCGATTAAAAAACAGCCTTCAACTCCACACCGTGAACTTATGAGCACATCGATGTCGATGGCCCCATGGCCACACACTACCATTCCCCCTCTCCTCACCTGTGTGTGTCCGCCTCAACAATATTTCAAAAACAGATGGCCACGGCTACATGATCCAGTTACAATGCATGATCAAACAGTCGATGTTTTTGAAATATTGTCCACATGATAAAGTTACAAGCACTCCGATGTTGATGGCCCTATGGCCACAGACTCATATGATCCCCCCTCTCTCCTCACCTGTCCATGGTCATGTCAGACATGACATTGTGAAGAAGTGTGGACAGAAGGTGGCGGCTTGCTGCCTTCTTAGGAACTCACATGCATGGGAGCCCAGACTGAGTCATCTGCCTACTACAACTCTAATTGGGAAATAGAGCCACACTCTCACTGTCCCTTCTAAGGGATTCACTTCCATGGGAGAGTAATAATCAGACTTGATTGTGGGTGACACGGGCACACTCTTAACTTCCCCGTCTCTGTGTGTGTGTGTGTGTGTGTGTGTGTGTGTGTGTGTGTGTGTGTGTGTGTGTGTGTGTGTGTGTGTGTGTGTGTGTGTGTGTGTGTCAAATCCTCTCTGTGCACCCATATCAAAATATTGAAATCCATCCTCTATCATGCTCAACTCTCTATATACTCCTCCAGGTCCACCTGACCAACCAGTGGCACCTGCTGCTATACACAGTCAACAATTACATATGGGCACACTCTGACGGCACTGGCTCTCTCTCTTCTCCTTCCTCAGCACCCACATCAAATCATTCAACTCCACTGGAGTCCATCCTCCGCCTGGCGAAGCAGTGGTGTCTGCTGCTAAACAGTCAGCACGACGACTGGTTATTAAATGTCGCACAGTAGTGCAAGCAATTCCGAGTACGCACACAGTCAGCAATGGCACATACCATCGATAGGTTTCCCTAGAAAGCAGCCATCCCTAGACGAGCGAGAAGTGGCTGATTGATCACGTGCCCTTGCAATGAAGATGAAGAGAACAACATGGTCTGCAGTAACTGTGCGCCGTAAAATAAAATTGGCAGGCAAACATCTACCTACACACACGCAAATACAAGAGAGAGAGAGAGAGAGAGAGAGAGAGAGAGAGAGAGAGAGAGAGAGAGAGAGAGAGAGAGAGAGAGAGAGAGAGAGAGAGAGAGAGNGAGAGAGAGAGAGAGAGAGAGAGAGAGAGAGAGAGAGAGAGAGAGAGAGAGAGAGAGAGAGAGAGAGAGGAAAAGCTAATAGTATTGCGGAACGAAGAGAGAACTAGCGCTAACTTTGTCGCTCAATGTCCTCAATGCAAATTGCAAATTGGCAATGCAAAGATGGTGGGCAACGATCTAATGGATGGAATGCGATGCTGCCGATGCAAGGAAGTGATTTTCCGTCATTTGCTGAGAACTGCACATAGAATATGAGTAGCTATATTGTGTGTCCTCCCAGCATGGCCCAACTTCTCCACAAACGCATTATTGCGTTTGTGTGTAGGACATCCGTCAGGCGAGAGAAAGAAATGTTCAACGAGGCGTTGTACCTGAGGGGATTGACGATGGGTGGTGGGTGTGGGACGAGGTGGGTGGGTGGGGGGGAAGGTGCTGCATCCAGAGCTCATATCATCAGCAGCTCTCAAGCCAAGCAGGCTACTCTTCCCGCGGAAAAGTGCCGGCTGACTAACCCTCTCTCATGCGCCCTAGCAACTCTCAAGTCCGTCCGGCTGCCGTTGAAAGGAAATTAGCTGCCGGATAAGTAACTTATAAACCACCACTTCTTTGTGGTGATGTCCTCTGCCATAGGGGTTGTAGAGTTTTGTTGCAGCACGCTGGCACACATATACACACCCAAAAAAAAAAAAAAAAAAAAAAAAAAAAAAAAAAAAAAAAAAAAAAAAAAACAAACCATGCAGGCCAGGCAAAAGCTGGCGGTGAGCAAGCATACCCTATAAATTGGTGCACTTGCTGGGTGCAGTAGGCCTTAACGGTTACCTCCATGTCCTGGCCAAGGAGAGAACATGAGGCAAGCTCGAACAAAATCGTCATAATGTGGGGTTCCGGGGACCGGCAACTGGGCAGGTCCCGGATAATAGTAAGGAAGGGGGGGTGGGTGGGGAGGCGGGGGGCATGGGAATCTGGGAGGGTGATTTGGAGCAGGATGCAGCGGCCAACCAGCTCCTGGCCACATCATGACATTGCTGGGATTTGGGCTGAAGGCCGGTGGAGCGGCATGGCCAGGTGGGGGGGGGAATGACTGAATGCCTGGCCTGGAATGTGGTAATTGCGGCATCGCCTCCGGCACTCCGGAGATTGGATACGCTGGAAAGGGAGTGACATGTGGAGAAGGCCAATGTGGTGGCCTGAAATCAAGAGGGGCAGCGAGACCTGGGTTCAAACTGGTGGTTATAGCTGGCATTGCATGTGCTGGTGCCCCTTCGCAACCCACACCTTCGCAGCTCGCAGTCGACCCAGCATGGGCAGTGGGTGGTGGCTGACACCCGCCGGCATTGTCACCCTTGGCGACAGCAGTCCTTTGTTGTTTGCGATACTGAACGCGTTCCCTTCGACGATGGCGATATGCAGCCTGCATTTGCTCTTCATGGGTTCCACTTGCAGCCACTGGGCCTGGAGGCAGCATGGCAGTTGAGGAGCTGGTCCCATCTCTGGGCCAATTGGTGTCATGGGTTTGCTGAGCTGTTGTACCTGGTGGTCCCCACATCCTCACTGGTGCCTCAACCTGTCTGCTGGCGACATCTGAAAGGTTCATCTCCGAACCTTCAGTCTGCAAGCAGTGTCCGACTCGCCCTTGCGGACAAGGTTGGACCTGTCTAGACAGTCGAGGATCACGGCCTGCCGGTTGGTGGATGCAATGGTGCAAAGCCTTCCACGTGTCCTCCCTGAATACCGCCACACCCTTCGCATTCACGTTATGGCTCCATGGGAAATCTCTGGCCTGTCTTGCTGTGCTAACATCCGTGGCGGTATAGATACTGGGATCTCGAAAAGTGATTGCGCTGAGCTGATTGCTTGGTCCAGCCGACATGTTGGATGCTGTTATGCTCATCTTGTCCTTGGCGTTCGGGATCACGTTCCGCGGAGGATGCAGCCCTTGCGATCGACGTGTCTGCTCTCCCTGAGCAGGAAGCTCCCCCTTTCCCTGTTCATCGGGAGGAAGAACCACCGTTGAGGTCCCAGCTTCCACCGTCTCAGTCCCAGCTTCCACTGTTGCGGTCCCCGCTACCACCGTTGCGGTCCCAGATACCACCTCTGCGGTCCCAGGTTTCTTTTCACCTGTGTCCAGCCAATGCAAACCAATCATGATAATTAAAAAAAAAA